GAAGAAGAGAAGAGAAGAGGCTTGAAGGAGTTCAAAGGAGGAGGAAGAGGAGGGGGTAAAGAGGCGGAAGAGATGCTGATGATGATGAGGAAAAAGAAGACGATGATGACGATGATGAAGAAGATGATGATGAAAATGGTATGTACGTTGATGATGATGTTGATGATGGTGATGATGCTGATGATGATGACGGCATGATGATGATCATGATGAAGGTGGTGGTGGTGATGATGACGGCGACGATGACGCTGATGATGATGATGGCGGTGGTGGTGATGTTGATGATGATGATGATGATGATGGTGGTGGTAGTGTTGATGGTCATGGTGATGATGGTGATGATGGTGACGATGATGATGATGACGATGGTGATGGTGACACTGATGGTGATGGTGACGGGGATGATAGTGATAATGATGATGGTGATGTTACTCATGGCGATGATGCATGATGGCAATGATGAGGGTGATAATTATGACGATGGTGGTTGTGGTGATGATGATGATGATGAGTATGATGATGGTGATTAGGAGGATGAGAACGAAGATGAAGATGATGATGGCCATGAGGATGATGGTTATGTTGATGGTGGTGGTGATGTCGGTGGCGATCGCCATGGTGAGAATGATGATGATGATGATGGTTGTGATGATGATGATGATGATGGCGATGGTGATGGTAATGGCGAAGGTGGTGGTGGTGACGGTGATGATGATGATAACGATGATGATGATGATGATGATGATGATGATGATGATGATGATGATGAAAAGGAGGAGGTGGAGGAGGAGGAGTAGGAGGAGGAGGGAAAGGACAGAGGCGAGAAGAGGCCTGAAGGAGGAGGACGAGAAAGGGATGAGGAAGAGGAAAAAGCGATGGTGATGACGATGATGATGATGATGATGATGATGATGTTGATGATCATGACGATGATGATGACGGTGGTGTTGATGATGATGGTTATGATGATGACGGTGATCGTGATGGTGATGATGATTTTGGTGGTGATGATGATGATGATGATAGTAGTAGTGGCTGTGACGATGAAGATGAGAGAATGAGGATGGGGAGAAGGGGGGTGGAGGAAGAGGCATAGAAAGAGCAAGACTCATCAACGAAATTGTAACAAACCCCCTCCAAATTCCCTTTTTTCATTGGCTCATACACGGATTCATTGTCATTGAGGGAAGGACCCGGTTGGAAGACAACCGCTCGAAAATCCGGAATTGCGCCAGAGCGCCATTCTTGGAGCTTCAACACCGCGAATCGCAGTGATTGCCGCATTGACATTCTGACACCTTGCCAATGCACCATTTCTGGGACATTAACCATAGGATTCCTTGAAATTGCTGCAAACTGTTCAGACGAGTGCGCGCGGAGCTACAGCGAGAGCCAAATTTTGAGGAGGAACCACCCTCCATCCGTGAAGCTCTTACAAGCTTTTATAACGAATGCGCGCGGAGCTAAGGCGAGAGCCACGTTTTGAAAAGGAACCGCCCTCCATCCGTGAAACGATTGCAAGTTGTTAGGCAAATTTGCGCTGTGCTAAGGCGAAAGCCACATTGTGGAAAGGAGCCACCCTCCATCCGTAAAGCCCGTGCAAACTTTTAAGACGAGCGTGCGCGGCGCTAAGGCGAGAGCCACATTTTGAAAACTGACCGCCCTTCATGTGTAAAGCCCTTGCAAGTTTTTAAACGAATGTGCGCGGCGCCATGGCGAGAGCCACATCTTGAAAGCGGGCCGCCCTCCATCTTTGAAACTGATGCAAATGTCAAACTTCTGGATCATAAATTTCGAGGACGTCTCAGGCGAAACGTCCGGAATGGGGAGGGGGAGGAGGAGGAGGAGAAGACGTAGAGGAAAAAGGAAGTTCAGGTGGAGAGGAAGAGAAGACGGAGGAGACAGGAGGCAGAAGAGGAGGAGAAGGAGGAGCAGGAAGAGGGGGCGGAGGCGGAAGAAGGACGATGAGGAGGAGGAGGGGAAGGTGAAGAGGAGACGGAGGAGGGAGCCTTAGGAGAAGGAGGAGAGGAAGGAGGAGGAGGAGGACAAGGTGGTGAGGACGAGGAGGAGGAGGAGGAGGACAAGTGCAATCCGTGCAAACCCAAGACACATCAGCGATGTTGGAAAAAAACCCTCCCCCCAGGCTCCCTCTTCATAGGCCCCGACAAGGATTCATTTCCATTGAAGGAAGTGCCCCATGTAGAGACAACCTTTTGAAGATCCTGAAGCGCGCCAAAGCAGCATTCGCGAGACTGCAACGCCACGAATGAACTTGACTGTTGCGCCGTGACGGTCCTGACCCGTGCCAGCGCACCATTTCTGTAAGTTCGACACCGCGAGTCAGTGTAATTGCTGTGCCCTGGCACCCCTGAGTCGCTCGAAAACGCAATTCCTGGCACGCGAACCTTGGGACATAGATTCAAGACGAATTTGCGCGACGCTGAGGCGAGAGCCACATTTTGAAAACGAACCGCCCTCCGTCCGCGAAACTCTTCCAAACTCTTAAAACGAGTGTGCGCGGCGCCAAGGCGAGAACCACATGTTGAAAACCACCCGCCCCCAACCCGTGGAATTGTTGCAAATTCTTAGAACGAGAAAGGCAATAGATCGACGTACAAAACAAAGCAGTAAAGATCATAACGAACGACCGTCCGCAACGTGCTCCTCGCGCCAAAATACATGGGCGAGAACCACATTCGAAAACCACCCCCCTTCCATCCGTGAAACCGTTGCAGAAAGAATGTGCGCGGCGGCGCAAAGCGAGAGTGTCCTCGCTGCCGCCCGGTTGCCAGCAGTGAAAAAAACAATAGGAAAAAATAAATCAAGCAAGACTAGAATACTAACGAAAGATACGTATAAAACGACGACAATATAAAACATTTATAAAGATAATAGAGAAAACCAAAACATACAACAAAAGGAGGACCCTACGACAGATAAAAGTACGGCCGAAAACAAACGCTAAACAAGACCAGGCACAGAACAGACCGAGAACAACTTCACATAACGAAAAATAAAGAATGAAGCGATCAGTAATATAATAGAATCAGAAAACACACAAGCAACACCGATAATGAAAAAAATATACAAAACAATAAAAAAAACCATTAATACAATGCAAGTACCTACATAAGATGAAGAAAATAGAAAAAAGAGAAACAAAGAGAGATAAAAAAGAGAACATCTGGAACAGAAACTACTGGAACCAGGATCACGAATCCAGGTCTGACCGTGCTTGGACGTGGGACGCCAACACGGGTCACGAGGATTCAGGCTTTCGGGCCAGAGGGCGCCCCGTGAGGGCAATCCTCTCTACGTTTTCGGGAACGGTTCGGGGGGGAGTTTCTTCCAACCCCAGAACACGGAGGTGCGGGCCGTTGCTGCGTACATGATCCAAGTGTTTGGTGGCCCATTGCTTTGAGAGTCCCTCTGCGGGGTGGCGGCTGTGCTCTCAGGAAGGCAGCAGAGCGTGGCATCGCGCAGACGCGTGCGTTCTGCTTCGGCGAGGGCCACCGAAGAGCATGTCGTATCATCTGACGAAAAGAAGAGACACACGAAGTCGAACAAATGCAGTGGGAATGGACGCCCGAGCGATGGCGGGAGAGCGCGCCTCGTGCTAAGTTGCTCGCGCTTTGTCTGGCCTCGGAGCACGCGCGTGGGCCACTCGCGTACACTACCGACTGCATGTCTCTAGGCTTTGATTAGAACATCGGCATGGTTTGCACCCCGAGGGGCGTCAACGGTGAGCCTTGGGCGCGCGTCGGCTAGGCTCTGACGCCGGGAGGCCCTGCCGAGGTCCAAGCCACGTGGACGGAGCCCAAGTTGGAGGAAGATCTCGTTCGGATCAAGACCGGGACGCGTTTCTTTGTCAGGGCAGTGCGTGCGCGCACGTTTGGGCGGGGATGGCCGCCGAGTGGCCCTGGGATCACACGGTTGCCCACCCCACCCCACCCCACGCCCCACCCCACCCACCCGCCCGCCCACCCGCCCACCCACCCATTCACCCACCAATCCACCTTCCCCCCGCGCACAGATTTGCGTGACCCCGTTGCTGCCACTGTCCGCTGGAGGGCCCGACGCGCTCTCGTTGATTGCTTGGACGCCGCACCTTGGGTGGGCACCAGGCCGCTTGAGACGCACATTCCCCGTTCGATCGACCCTCGACACGTCTCTCGAAACTAGCACTCATGAGTTCGCGCCTTCTGTCGGCAGAAGGCGCTGCCAGTTGTGCAAGCCGAATGCCCTGCCCCATGGCCGCGACGGCGCACAGGTGCCCGAGGGCCCTCGTCGCCGACGCTGGCGCGCCCTCGACCGCGCCCGGTCCCGCGCTTGGTGTCGAGGACAGCTCCCTCTCTGCGCAGCTGCGCGGTGCTCTGGCTGCTGGAGGGGCGAGGCCCCACGCCTCGCCCCGGCCCCACCCGGTGCAGGAGTTCCGTGTCTCGGGTGTTGTCCGACGTGCTGCTCCACGGCGGCCTCTGATGGACGGACGCCGCCTCGCCCATGGCGCGCTGGGGGGGGGGGCGCGGGGCAGGCCCGACCCGGAAGGGCCACGAGACTACCTCCGGGATCCGCAGGAGCCTCCTCCCCGCCCCGCCGAGGCCCACCCGCGGCCTGCGCGATTCGGCGGCCAAGGAGTGGCCGGCCGCGGCGTCTCAGGGCTCCCAGCGGGGCCCCCATGGGCCACGCCTGCGGCCGCCGCCCGCTGAGGAGTGCGCTGCCGTCTCGTCCGCGCGCGCGTCCCGCGGCGTGGCCTCCTCCGTGGCGGCCGGCCAGCCACGGGAGCCCGCCGCCCTCCCGCGCCGCGCGGCCAGCGGCGCCCTCGCCCGCGCAGCGGAGGGAGTCGCCCTGTCAGTTGTCGCGGCCTCTTCTGGGAAAGAGTCGGGCCGGACGAAAGGGGGGGATTGGGAAAGGGGGGGTTACGAAGTTTGCTGCATGCAGCTGGTTTCGGCCTCACCGAGGGGCCCATTCCTCGATACATAGCCGCCTCCGGCGCCGGGAGG